GGTGTCCCCAAAACGGTGGTGGTGACTCCGAAATGGTGGTGTCCCCAGGGTGATGAGGACCCCAGGACAGTGGTGACCCCAGGATCATGTTCTCCCCAAAATGGTGGTGACCCCAGGATGGTGGTGACCCTGGAATGATGGTGACCCCCAGGATAGTGTCCCCAGGATCATGTTCTCCCCAAAATGGTTGTGACCCCAGGATGGTGGTGATCCCAGGATGCTGTCCCCAGGATCACATTCTCCCCAAAATAGTGGAGACCCCAGAATGGTGGTGACCCCAGGATGGTGGTGACCCTGGAATGATGGTGACCCCCAAGATGGTGACCCTGGGATCATGTTCTCCCCAAAATGGTTGTGACCCCAGCACGGTGGTGTTCCCTGGATGGTGGTGACCCTGGAACGGTGGTGAACCCAGAATCACATTCCCAAAATGGTTGCGACCCCAGAACAGTGGTGACCCTGGATGGTAGTGACCCCAGAACAGTGCTGACCCTAGCACAGTGGTGTCCCCTGGATGGTGATGACCCTGGAACAGTGGTGTCCCCAGAATCACGTCCCCAAAATGGTTGTGACCCCAGCATACTGGTGTCCCCCGGATGGTGGTGACCCTGCAACAGTGGTGACCCCAGAACAGTGGTGACCCTGGATGCTGGTGACCCTAGGATGGTGTCCCCTGCATGGTGGTGACCCCTGGAACAGTGGTGACTCTGGAAGAGTGGTGTCCCCTGGACGGTGGTGACCCCAGAGCGGTGGTAAGCCCAGAAGAGTGGTGACCCCCAGGACAGTGCTGTCCCCAGGGCGGTGCCGTGCCGGGCAGGACGTCCTGTGTGGGGCTGTCGGTGCTGCTGACTCAGCCACGGCCCCGAGGGCTTCCTGCCCGAGGGGGACGACAAGGGGGGCTACGGGGACAGCAGGGTCAGGGGGGGGCCTTCCTTCCCAGGGCACCGTGGGGGCTCCGGTGGGTCCCCCCCGGGGCAGGCAGTGGGACAGAGAGGGCTCAGGGACCAGCCGTGTGGCAGTCCCCATGTCCCTCTGTCCCCTGCCAGCTCTGGCCGGGGGCCGGGGGGCCACGGGGGTGTCCCCACGGAGGAAGCGCTGGGGCGGGAGCGCGAGGGTGTGCCGGGGCCGGCGGGGGAAGGAAGCGGGGCTGAATCCACGGAAGCGCTCCCCAGCCGCCCGCCGGGCTCCCCGGGGAGCGGGCGGGAGCGCCGAGCCCCGGCATTGTTCGGTGCCGGCGGTGCCAAGCCCAGTGAGCCGCCGGCGCCCACAGATGGCTCCGGTTAGCGGGACCCTCTCGGGTGCCAGCTTTGGTGACAAAGCTCCCACCCAGAAGGTGACGGTGCCGCCCGGGGACGGGCACGGTGGTCCCAGGCTGGTTGCTCTGAATCTGGCTCAGCCCGGCCGGTGGGCAACGGTGAGCAAGGCGGGAGAGGGGCCGGGAAGGCCGGTGGTGGCCGGGTGTTGGCTGCCAAAACCCTCAGGAGAGATCGTTGGGGAGCCAAGAAATCCCAGTGCCGGCGGGCGCTGCCCTTCCCCGCGGGGCAGTAAACAGGCTCCCTGCCCTGGCAGCTGGAACGCCTAAAATTTTCCATCCTCCGCCATCTCGTGCGCCAAAGGGACCCGGCCCCGCCGGCAGCGGGGTGGCCGGAGGGGTCACACACAGCTTCCCGCTGCCGGGAAGGATGGGAGTCCTCCATGCCACCCAGCTCCTTGCCTGGCATCGCCTGCCTCAGTTTCCCTCTACCCCTTCCCACAGGGATGGCCCTGGATTTTGGGAGGGGGCAGCCGGAGGGATCCATCCTCCCCTCTCCCCCCGCCGAGCACGAGATGATGATAAGCCATTTCCAGCCGGGCCGGGGAGGGGAGAGGGGTGTGGGGCAGGAATCCCTCACGGATGCCGGATAACGGGACGTTAGTCACATCCGCTCGTGCCGGACAGGTCCGGGCAAGGTGTGAGAGGAGCTTGGCTTGGGGACAGAGTGACCATGGGGCCAGGAGGGGAGGTCAGCGCCCACCTCCACCCCCTGGTCGGGGGGCTGCCCGCATGGTTCTGCCCCATGGGTGGCCGGAAGGAGACTGGGGTGGCCCCAGTGGACACGGAGCTGCTCCGTGGTGAACCACAGCCACCACCTTGTTCAACCTCCCCGAGCCCTAACGCCCCACGCGGCCGCACGGTCCCCCTGGAGGCCACCACAGTCTGTCCCTCCTGGAGCTGGGGCCCCTACGATCAACAGGCAAAAAATCCCAGAGCCTCGTCCCCCGCAAGCCGAGGCGCTGGCAGGACACACCGCACCACTCACCCTCATTACAGCTTTCGTCAGCGGCTCGTTTCCGAGCCGGCTTGCGCGGAGGAAATGATGAGAGGTGGCGGCGGCCGCAGGAAAACATTTGCAGGGCGGCCGGGGGGCACCAAGTGAGATCACGCTCGTCCCACGGACAGTCAGCACGGCTCGGGGGACAGGCAGCATCCCGGCAGGGGGTCAACCAGGGTCCGAGAAAGTCGTCAGGCCCCGGTGATTAACGAGGCGCTGATTTGGCAGTGAAGGAGCAGACAGGCGGATCCTCCCCGCCGCGATGTCCAGGTCCCTTGCTGCCTCCCGGGGCCCTCCAGACCTCCCCACGTGGAAGGGGAGGAGGGACCTGAGCCCCCGCTGAACGAGAAAATTACATATATTTATATAAACATGTTTTTGCTTTATGTTTAAGGGATTTCACAGCAGCTACGAGCCAAGCCACAACCCAACAAAAGTCACCAACTCTCACTAGTGCTGCACACCGAACTGGAGCAGCTGGAAACGGCCGTGACCCACAGCTCCTCCACCACCAGTCCAGCCACGTGTCCACAAACACCCCCTGCCCAAAAAACCAGGGGGCTCAGAGTGCCAACACCAAACAGACTGACACAGCAAAGCCCATCTCCCCTGGGCTCTCCAACATCTCCTTCTTCCACCCGCCGGCACGGCCACTCGCCCTCCCCAGTAAGACAGCTCTTGGACTTGTGGGCTCTACAAATAATTTTATTGAAATTTAACAAAAGTGGACAGATGCACTGGGAGGAAGGACCATAAATAGTGTACGTTTCCCAAACCCACGGGTCCTACCCACACGCTAGAGGAGCAAGGAGCCTAGTGTCAGTGAGTACGGTTCGGCTACACATCCACACGGGAAAGCACGACGTCGCACAGAAATCGTAAAAAAAAAAAATAATCAAAAGGAAAACTTTCCTTTTTTTTTTTTTGCTTGCTCCAACACCACAGTGGACACAGATACTATTTACAGCGACCTTCACATTTTCAAGATCCCTCCAGGTGCTCCCGAGGCCCTCTTGCCGCAGGAGGGCTGGAGGCCAGCGGAGGGAACGGGGGTCTGGGGGGGGGGGGCTGGCTGCC